GTTCTCTTCTAATATTGTAATTAGTCTCAGAAAAACCTCTTGGAAATTGATTTAAGTAAAATTCATCTACATAATGTAGAAGAACAAAATTTTGATTTGGTTAGTTAAATTTTGCAATATTTTGTTCAAGCGGAATATAAAGTAAATGTTTTGAAGTATTTTCTAAAAAATCCTTTGGAAATTCCATAGATAAAAAATTAAAAAGAAAAAATCGCGTTAAAACGAAGTTAAAAGAACACATTAAAAAGAACGCGTTAAACATGATCAAAAATGATCTACGTTTTTGATTAATCAAAAAAGCGAATTTTGATCGCAAATTTTATTGGTCGAAATGTTTGTACAATCCAATCACAAAATCTGAACGATCAACTTTAAAATGGCCTATTATGATCCCTTATTATATCACATACAAAATACTGATCTTAATTATAATCTATCAGCTGAATAGCACCTACATATTGGTAATACTTCAATATTTACAGTTTCAATACAAGTCTTCATACTTTCCTATATAGATGATACCCTTTGGATTAATAAATCTAAGGATGATCTTGAGCTGATCTTAACAATAGCTGATGACTTTTACTAACTTAATAGTATTCTAGTTAACTGGGATAAATTCATATTACTTTCTTCAGTACTGATAGTATCATCCATACACTTTAGACTAGCATACAATAAAAAATGAATTAAATTAATGAACTTTAAATCATCTACCTGTTATCTCTGTATTTGGATTTCTCTTATCACAAATTGCCTGTTTATAAAACAACAAGTAAAGAATGAAATCTATAATGCTACTTTGACAATCAAAAAAAAATTCCTCACAAATAAATAACTCAAAGTAGTCTTTAACTTAGTCCTCTTGCTAAAAATTCTGTATCATACTCTATTAACATTTTTTAATTACAAATTTTGTGATTAGATTATGGGATCGTATTGAAAAATTTTTAGGTCAAATCTTCATTTATCTAAAAGTATCCTAGCAGTCATTATTCATTCATCATTATTTTATAATATTACACACTTATATTTAACACAAATTCAAGCAAAAATTTCTAACTTTATCAAATCTATCAATGACAAAGATCTATTAGGCACTACATCTCTGATCTGTTTTAGATTGCTTCAAAATAATGAATGGCTTATTAAATCACCTTTAGCATTTTGGCTGTATGATGACTCCTTCAAATTTAAAGACTGGTGGACTGCTCTGCTCTCTGCCCTAAAATCACTCAATATCATCATCTCAAATAGTAATACTAAGGATAATTGCATAAAAAGAAGACAATTTCCCTTATATAAGATTTTCAATAAAACAGATTATCGCACCTTTACTCCAGTTTTAAGAAGTAAATAACTCATATTTCTTGACCAGATTATAACATCAGATAGTGCAACACTCTTCATATTACCTGACCTTAAATATTCAGCAGCTTGTCTGAAAATTCTCAAGACTTCTGCTTGGTTTCTCAAATTACAATCTTTGCTTATATCTTCACCTAACATAAGAATTATTCCTTCAAACTATCATCGCCCATACACTAATAATATATACTCAATTCCTCTGATCTATATTAAAAATAATACATACTTTACTGTAGGTTAGCATTTAAATTCCCATTCTACTATAATCAGAAAGGTACTCAGAATCGAAAATGATATAGTTCACTTATAATATTTTAATGCATTGTTAGACCATACTTTTAAAACTTTATTGTTATCATACACTAAATGCTTTCTAAATGATGATTCTTCCTTTATTCCTTCTAATATGAGAAATAAACATAAAGTTTGCTTTATAATTTTTTTTTTACACCTATGTGCTGACATCAAGGCCCTCTCCTTCCAACTATTGGTCATATCTGTTCTTTGTTCCTTTACATACTTTATGAAATTGCTTTATATAATTATAATTTAATTGATAATAATGCATTTAATGTTCCTCCACCTTATCCTTCCCATCTCTTATACCTGATCAAAAATTTTTTTTTAATATAGAAATCCTCAGTAGTTAGATAATCTTAAAAGTCACTTCATACAATCAACTAACCTCTCATTTTATACTGATGGTTTTCTTACTAACTTAGGTACTTCTTCAATCTGTATGGACGTGATCTGGTTGCAATCTGATCCTTTAGTACCTTTACTTTCCTTTAATGCTACACTCATTCTTTCTCAACCTTCATCTTCTCTAGCAGAACTAGTAGCGGTACTAACTGCTATATATGTAACTCCTACAAATGCTGCAGTTAATATTTTCACTGACTCACAAAATATCATTTTATCTTTTGATAAAATGAACTACTTCTACACCTTCTCTCCTACCTTTAACCCCATTTTTAAAATCTCCTTTTACCTAATTTGATTTCTTGTTATAAAGTTAATCAGAGATAAATCCATTTCCATTGTTTTTCATAAAGTCAAAGCTCACTTAAATAATTATTATAATAATGTAGTTGATGTATTAGTAAAAGCTGATGGTCTCCCAATCATACCAAATAACAAATTTCTAGAACACTATTATAATCTCTATTTCTATGAGGATATTATGCTTATTCCACCCAGATTATTCATGAAAGACCTCCTTAGATCAATCAATTTTTATAATATACAATTATTTTTATACTTTAAGAAATACAACACAATAGATGTTGATTGAATTCAAACCTCTTTCATTTTCAACGATAATGAAAACAACTTCTATACATCCTTCAAAGCCTCTTCCATTCGCAAATTTAAAATCAAACAAATGCTTGAACTGCTCTCTACCCTAGAAATCCTCAAGATAAGACATCTAAATCTATATGATCAATTATGAAATTGTTTTAGATGTTTGTGTACTTATGAAACTTTTAATTACGTTTGGACTTGTGCCAAAATTAAACATCAAATTATTGATATTATATCTTCAACTAAAAGGTTTTTTATACATCTCACTATATTGATTTCAGACACTCAGGATTTTACGGATCTTCTTGATTTGACCATCTGGTCCCTAAATGATTAACTTGACTCTCTTAACTTTATTGATTTAATCAAAGGAATTATACTCTTTCCCTATTCAACAAAATATACTGCCTTATTAACAACCTCTAACTAACAAACGGTCTCCTATCTTCTACTTACTATTATTCATTCTCTCAAATAAAATCCATTTGGCTTGATCATTGCAATGATATTAAATATTTTGAAAACCTCAACAACATCTCACTCAATAATCAAAAATTACATTTCACTAATACCAGTTTTCTTTCGTCATCATCACACACTTTTAGTATTCCTTCATACTTTATTTTTTCCTTTAGGTTTGGTATGAACTGGTTGAATTTTTAAATCAATAGTAATCACGTTCTCTGTACTAAATGGTTGAATCTATTCTAAGTTTATTTAGGTAAGTTAGTCTAGAACGGTGCAAGGTTTATTTTGATTTAGTTTTATTGCTAAATAGGAATTTTTGTATTCTCTATCTTGTAATTTATAATTTTGTAAAATTTTACTTTACTTCTAAATAAAGATTATGCAAAACTACCACATGTAAAAAAAAAAAAAAAAAAATTATAACTGCAATTTTTAACTTCAAATAATAAACTAGTGGTCAGTTTAATTTAAAGACTAAACTGGCAGTTTTTGAACTGAATTGAACTGAGTTGAACCAATAATATCCCTAGTATAATAACTTCTAAAAATTAATATATTAAAAATATATATATAATTAAAAAGTTTAGGCATTAAATAATAAAAATAAAATTATTTTTATAAAAAAAGTGCATTCTTTTTTAAAATATAAAATCTACTGATCATCTAATTTCTGTTCTATACATAATATAAATTTATAATTTTACAGATTATTAAGATTAATATTGAAATTAAATTAAAAATTTTTTTTAATAAATATTATTAATTAACTTTAAGAATTATGATGGTCAGATACTTATAACCGTTACTATATTATATTTATAAAAAGCTAATGATTTAATTTATTAAATTAATTAATTATTTTTATAAACTACATAGTAGATATTAATATTATTTAATTAATATTTCAAAAGAACCTAGAAATATATATATATAGAAATAAGATTTAATGATACTTAATCATTATAAAAGTATTAGATAAGGTAAGGTTTTAATTTGTATATTTTTTAAATTTTTTTAGTTATAATTAAGTTATCAGTTTAAGTATTTTTAGGCAAATTTTTAATATATAAGGTTAGGTTTATATATTTTAGTCTAAATTTAGTAATCTTATATATGGTAAATAATTATAGAATAGCAAATTTTAGATTGTATATGAAATGATATAAAAAATTTTAATTTGATGATTAATTATAGTTGCATAATTAATTATAATTACATAATTAATATCACTGAAAATTAACTTCTTTTTTTAATAAAAAAAACACTTTTACTTTATTTAATATAATTTTTAAAAAATACTTATTTTTTAAATTTAAATACTTGAACTTATAAGAACTCTTATTAAATATAATTTTTTCATTTTTGTAGATTTTAATTTTATATATATTTAATATTTTTTTTTTATAAACATTAATATAGAGATTTTATGATGAAAATTGAGCACTTTGATTAAAAGTCAATTGTTTTTTATCTCTAAGTAAATATTTTTTAGTAGGTTCAATACTATTTATATCTAATTTTTTATATTGATTAGATTAATATTTATATAGTAATATGTGTTTTTGTAACTTTATTAATACTATAATATTTTTTTTAACTTCACAGGATAATTTGAGCATTTTAGTTAAAGTCAATCACTTTTTATCTCTAAGTAAAAGCTATTTAGCAGATTTAATACTATTTATATCTAATTTTTTATATTGATTGAATTAATATTTGTGTAAAAATAATTTTTTTTTATAATTTTACTAAATTAGTCATACTTTTTTAACTTCACAGATTAATTTGATTATTTTGATTAAAGTAAACTGCTTATTACATATTAAATAAAAATATTCTATATATTCAAAACTATTTATATATAAATTTCTTTTTCAATTAATTTAATATTCATTAAGTAATAACTTTTTGTAACTATATTAATTCTCAAATTTTTTATTTTTTGAATATTTATTTGTGTAAATTATTAAATATTATATTAATATAAATGTATATCACAAAATTATCATACTTTATAAAAAAGTATTAAATAAAAGTATTTAAAAGTTATTACTTTGTTTTATTATAATTAATTTTTTAAATAAATTTTATTTTATTGTATTTTTAAAATTATATAAAACAATAATTTATATAGCATTACTAATAATGGTTAGAATTTTATTTGCATAATTTTATAGAATTTTGATGTCAGATATTAACTTAACTTATTGCTATTATAAAATGATCTACGTAAAGCTATATTAAAAATTTTTTTGATTACTTTACCTATATATATATATTTTTAGGTTCTATTTTAAATAATTTAATTTAGTTTAAGTTATAAATTAATCTTAATTTGTATTAAAATTTCAATTTAATTCAATTCATAATTAAATTATAAATCACAAAAGTCTTGATCTAAAACTAAAAATATTAGATTAATTTAAAAATCAATTCAATTATATATACTTTATAATTGATTAAAACAATTTATATTTTTAATTATTCTAATTAGATGATACTTTTATTATTTAATTAAAATATAAAAATGATTATTTAATTGAATGATCTTTTTATTGTTCAATTAAAATGATAATTTTAATTAAATAATCTTTTTATTATTTAATTAAAATAAATTTTTATCATTTTAATTAAATAATATTTTTATTATTTAATTAGAATAATAATTTGATTATTTTAATTAAATAATAATTCTTTTATAATTTAATTAGAATAATATTTAATTATTTAATTAAATAATTTTTTTATTATTTAAATAAAACAGTGATAAAAATGAAATTTTAACTGAGATAATATGATAAATATTTATGAAAGCAAATTTTTCTTTATTATTAATTATTCATAATTTATGATAAAATAATTTTATATTATAATAGTAGAAAAATAATAATAATATAAAAAGAAATAATTAAAATTTATTAAAAGGCTAAAAAAGAAATTTAAAATAATATTTTATCTTTGTAATATAAGTTAATCTTGATAGTTTTATTAATAACAAAGTAATTAATTTATTTAAAAAATTATATAGTTAAATTTTTTTATAATGCATTACATTAGTTATAGATAATCTAAAAGAAATTTCAAAAAATTTAGAAACTTTGATAGTTCTCTCTTCTTTTTTTATTATATATATTATATCTAATAAATAATTTTATATATAAATAAATAAATAAAGTTTGCTAAATTTCTAAATAAATATAATAAAATTGATAATTTTAATAAATATTAATAAATATTATCCCTGCAATAGTATTGTAAACAAATTTTCCTGACAATTATAATTAATAATTAAATTCATTTTTAATTACTTTAAATATTTTTAAAATAATTTATTAAAAATTAATACTTTATAAGTAAAAATGTAAAAAAATGTAATTAACTAAATGGTTTTTAAAGATAAATAAATATATATTAAAAAGTTAAAAATTTCAAATTCATATACCTTGTCTATTGATTTTAGAAATATGAAAATACTACCATTTAATAGGTTTTAATGAGATAAACCAATATACTAAATTTTATTTTTATTATTATTTTTTTTTGTGATTATTAGATAATCCGTTATTTTTAAAACTGAAAAATTTAAAAATTGTTATACTGTATATTAATAATTGTTATTTTAAAAATTTAAAAAGTACAACTATTAACGTCAAGTGCATTTTAATATGATAAACTTTATTTCATCTTTATGATCACTAGATAAAAAATATTACAATTATATA